AAAATAACTTCTGGCAGTCTGTAAGGTCTATTGCAGTTTAATTCTATTTTAGGCTAGGTCTGATGGCAAATTCTGGAAACACGTTTATTTCTATTACTCATTATCATATCTTCACACTCAAGGTAAGTCTTACAAGCTCAAGATTTATTTGTTTACCCAGGCTTTTGATTATTTTGTTCTCTTATCTTTTACTGGATTGTGCACATTTTCTATATCTGTTACTAGTCTTCCTATCTGATAATGTTTTTGTTTAGCTTATATTATTTTATTGTGTTTTATCGCTTGCTTCCCTCTTTGGGATTATTTTATAATGGAAAGTAAATAAGACTTTTTAAGGCCATGGTCCTGCATGCTTATACAGAAAAAAATCCTACAACTATCAAGATTTCCTACCCAGAAGAACTGGCTGTGGAATACTGGAACTTTTAGATTTTTTTTCTAATGTCAAATTGCTTCCTAAACAAATTCATACAGAAACAACTGAAGCAAAATATATTTACTGTTTCTTTTACTCAGCATTTAAACCCCTACCCATCTGAAGCAATATTCCTAATATTGTTGTACTCCCTGTAGTAAAATCATGTTTACTCTCAATTCATAAACTCTAGAATTTCCCACTAAAAATCTGCAGCTACAGTTTTGGACACAATCATACCTGCATCAAGAGCAGAGGCACATCATACCTGCACCAAGAGCAAAGGTGTCTGTATGTTTTAATTTCCACCAATTCCCTCTACTAGCTGAAGTTCCTACAAAGCAAACCCCTGAACAGGGGCCCCATCAATCTCAGAAGCAGGGTTTCAGTGGGAAACCCCTGATTAGCAAGCAAAAACCTGTTGCAGTATGTGCAATCCAAATAAGAGAGAGGAGAGGAGAATAAACTGTTTATGCTTTAAATAATTTTAATTCTGTAATGCCTCTGATCAGTCAGTATTCATTTCCCACTGGGTTTGCAGATTAACTAATTAAAGACACTGCTGTTTGGGAGCTCGCTCAATTGTGCATTGTTATAATGAAATAAAGCTATTATATTATCAGATGTTTGTTTGCATAGTATTTTTTTCTGTGTTAAATTAATGTAACAGTTGGCATACATTTTCTTTTCATGTACTCAATAATTTAACAAAACAAATTTGCAAGCAATACAATTGCTATCTAGATGAAGCCAAATTCTAAGCAGAGATTTGTAAATATAGATTTAATTCTTTACGATTTTAATGTATACAATATATTAAGAAGCTACACTCTCATCAGACAATATTTCCTAACAGTAGTTTGATGCTTGAATAAGTTACCTAGAGAAACTAGGTGTTGTAGGCCATGCTATATTGATAAGGAACTTTGATAATCTAAAACTTGGAATTATGCCATTATTTGAAAGCAGAGATGACTGTGGAGGGTTCCCTCACTGTTATACTATTATTCTATGTCTCTTCATACCTTTCCACAACATTTTCCTTTGTCGATAATCTTCAATGCAAACTCCTTTCCAGTTGAACTACAAAGATAAAAAGAGAAAAAAATATTAAATTTTTGTTTTACATTCTTGTCTGAATATCCACAGTGAGGATAAAATTTCTTTCATCAGTAGGAAGAGATGACATAATGAAGGTAGAACTACTTTTATTCCTTTCAGTAAGTCATGTCTGCTGTTGCCTTGACTACCAAAATCAGGGTTTCTGCTGTCATTTACTGTAGTGTGACCTAATGCTGCTCATTCTGTTCTATTTTACTGTCAGATGTTCCATCTATTTCACCCAGTTCTATTTAACTGACAGTCCCACAGTCACATGACAATGTTTACAGCTTCCGTGTAGCCTGAAGTGCCTGATCCCGATTAATCTTGGAAGCTAAGCAGGGTTGGGTCTGACTGAAATCTGGATGGGTAACTCAAACTGCCCAGACAGCTTCAGCTATGGATGGTATAGAAAGGTGGTGGTGGTAGTAGTAGTAATACAGTTTTCTCCATTTCAGAATATAAAGGATAGGGATAGTGCAGAGATTGATTCTGAAGTGTATAATATCAGATATGCTATAGTATTTCTAAAATTTATTTTCCTTTTCGATTACAAATATTTTGTGTCTCTTCTACCCATTTGCATTAAATTTCACATGAGAATCTTATCGTAAATGCAATATCCTTCTAGGTATGGGGTGGCAGTGGCAGGGGATGTTGCAACATGTTCAGGCACTGCAGAGTAAAAGGAGGGAGAAAGTATTTTTATTCCAGGAATATTTAAGACTTCAATGGAAGAGTAATTCTTGAAAAATATTTGGCCTTCTAAATTCACATTGTAAAAGTATTTTCAAAACAAAAATCCCCAATATAGGGTCACAAATGACTATTTTGCCTCTCAAACAGTATGCATAATACAATCCACTAAAAACCTCAGCAGCAAAAAACCAAATTGTAAACATAATCAAATGGAAATTACTCAATTACTATTACTTTTACTAAACACAGACTATAGTACACAAGGCTTAATACATACATTCATTGTTCAACTTCTATAAAAATCCTTATAGTCCTGTGCATCCTTGAATATTTTAATTACGGAACACACATTTGGAAAAAAACTTTGAGGAGATTTGGTCACAGAAAAGCCATGTATTGCTGTAGTTCCTTGTCAAATGTACAGAAGGTTACAGCAAGGTTCTCAGCATGTAATGAGTACCAGAGAGCAAAAATGCACCCTTTACTCCTTTCTATGTGATTTGATAGCATTTTTAAAAATAAGCGAGGTCAATAGTTCACAATTAGCATGTACAGTGCCAACAGAAATAGTAACCTTATTTATTTGAGTATTGCTAATGAAATCATGTTGTACAAAGTGCAATACCAGAGTTGTATACATTAAAGATGGCTATTATGGAACACAGTGTAGCTGAGTATGCTTGGTGTGAAAGCACACCAGCTGTGTCTGCTAGGTTGTCATAGTTACAACTGGATCCAGCTGAGAACAAAAGAAAAAAATAGTATCTCAATAGCATTCTGAGAGCAAATGCAGTGGGTTATAGCCAGACATGCACTAATGGAAGATATTCTGGTGCTGGAACTGTTCTGCAAATTTTTGCATAAGCTAGGAGGCCTACCTGAAACACAGAATTAGCACAAACTTGTATCTTGAGTTTGCATGCAAGATATCACATGCTTTGCACTACCACATGCATACTGTTAGATGACAGTTCTCTTTTCTGATGTAAGCCAATGGAAAGCACAACCATGCTCTATTCTTTCTATTGTCAGTGTCAACACATGTACCTCAGTACTCCTTGCAGGATGATGGGAAAGTCATATACAGCAGAATACACATAAACTGTACACAAATGTGCAACACCCCACATTGGATGGGTAGACATTAAATGAAGATTGCATTTTATCTCTCAATTCTTCCTCTCCCTTTCTTTCTTGCAAGAGGTTGTTTGATTCAAGCATGCACCAATACAAATTGTGCTATGTTGTGTGTATACATTTTTTGGGCATTGTGTAGCACCTGAACAAGACTCAGACCCTTCACTTAGGAAATTTCTGGGTTTTATGTTGGTACTTGCCTTTGTACTAAGTTTCTAATTATTACCTCTACCAGAGTCTGGCAGAGATAGCTTATGTTTCCATTAGCATGTTAAGTTTTCAAGCTGCATATTACTTAGATTTATCTTTATGCCTGGAGGGTGTTTGTATTTGCAGAGAACAGAGGAATATCTTAAAGCTCCAGAGGCATTTTCTTTCTAAAGTATGCTTGTAAAATAGAGCAAGGTTTGCTTAGGAGCAAATTGCAATAAGTGAAAGGGTTTTAGAAATAGTTGACTCATTTTGTTAGTAGTAGTCCTAAGAGATCTAGTTTTGCTAGCTACCAGTATTATTTCTAACAATGGAAAGAAGCTAACAAAAATCCTTAAGATGAACATAAACTAATATCCTGAGAATTCCCACTAGAGCCACAAATAATGGCTTTATATTAGCAAGATGCCATAAAGATGGACTGCAATGCCAGCCCAGGTTTATTCACCTCGTTCCCAGACGATCTGGGTCGTATTTCTTTCCTTTTGCTATTGTTTCCTCCTCCATTTGAACTTCTGAAGTCCTAGTTTCTGCTACTTCTCTTTCCCTTCCCTAGTCCTCTCACAGATGGCCCTGCCTCATGTCCCTCCATATCTCTATTCTTAGGCCACTTGCTATCTCCATCCCTCCATCAACTGTTCAGATTGATTGTGTTCCAGTTTTCAGACACACCTTATTTTCATCTCAGCATTTAGCTGCAACGTATCTTAAAAATAATGGCCTGGATGCTAAAATAGGTTAACCTGAATCCTTCCTTCAGGAGACCCTTGAGCCCCCAACCCACATTATTCAGGAGCTCCTCCTGAAGGTGCTTCTGGTGGCTCTATCAAGGCAGAAGAGGCAGGCAGCTTCCTTTCACAAGTTCCTTTTGTTAATATCCTAGGAGCCAAGACTGGATTTTCATATAGATGCCCGCTAAAAACATGGTCTTGAGATGACTGCATGCTTTCGTAAGAGTTCCTTTTTCACTGAATTTACTCTTCCTGTTCTGTCCTCTCCAGAATTCTCATTTAATTCAATATTGAAAGCAATATTTATGCTAGGTTTTGCTTATTTATACCAGCCTAAAGTCATCCTAGATTCTTTTTTATTCATGCCTAGTACTCATGCCAATCATTGTCCTCAGGCAGTTACCCTTGTTCCACTCTTCTTTTAGCATCCTGATTTAGTACTTTATGCTCAAATGCAGATGTGTGAAGCACCACCAGAAAATTCACAAGGGAGGTAAACTTAACTTGAAGGGAGGTACTTCAGGGAACTTCTTCAAATGTTTATTCATTCAGCACAGGTATGCAGGCTGGAGCTACTTTCTGATTAACTAGCAATGGAAAGTTTATCAATTAACTAATGCAAAGCTTCCATTACAAAAGATGGAGATGATGCATGTCATAAATGCACTGAATATACAATCAGATTTGCTCTGTGCTACTATTGTCTTTTCCTGAAGATTTTGCTGAAATACTTTTCCTCCCATGCCAGTGAAGTGGTTGAGGAAAAGAGGATAAGCACAGCATGGAGATGCACAAAAATGGAACAAATACTATATACTTGTGCTGATAGAAATTATGAACAATTTAGTTATTGCTGAAAACTTTACCTAGTTTCCATGTTTGAAATATGAATTTATTCAGATATGTAAATGTCACTATATATATAATAGAAAGAACTTGAGACTTCTTTGTTTTAATGAATTTGGGAGAAAGAAACTGGCAGATTTATCCATCAGAGAATTGTATTTACCTGGTATAATTATTATGTTAACCCTTGCAAACAGCACATTTTGGCAGTTTTCTAGGAAGTATTTCTGATAGAATTATTATTCAAGAAATTAGGCTTGCTTTGCACATTCATCAATTTTACAATGAACAATAAAAAGTTTTACCAAAGAAACCTGGTTGTGCTTCTAATCATTAAAATCTCTTCATATGCACACACACTGCAGTTTTTAAAAAGCTTTCACCAAGTAAAAATGAGTAGCCAAACTCTTTGCTTACCGTTCTATGCACTCCTTAACCACAGCAAAATTACCATCTCCAATCACCTTTCCCACTTTGTATTTCTCAAGAATACTTGATGTCCCTGAGCATTTGTTTCCATTCACACCTACAGGATGGAAAGGGCATACATAAATGGCATTGAAATGGGAGCAATCTGGATTGTCTCTCTCTGATCAAGTCTACTGTATGATTATATCTGTAGCTACACATATGAACTTAAAAATAAGCTATTTTAAGTACATGTCCCTTCTTATTTGCGTGTACCAGTGAAACTGAATCTGAGTTGTATAACCTTGCTTGTTATAGAGGGCAAACATCTAAGCATAGTTTTCTTACTCCAAGGGGCAACAGAGCTTCTGGCTAGAGGAAATATACATTGAGCTAATAAATGAAAATAGAGAAATCAGTGCCTAAATCACTCTATAATTCAAATATAGTACAATTGGCACAACTGCTAAAGGTTTATTCACCATGTTTTGCACATTTGCTTCAGTACCTATGGATAACCTTGAGCAAACAGCAGCTGGACATGCAGAACAGAGAACAATGCTTTGGCAATTGTACCAACTATTGGTTTTGTATTATTATTTTAAAAATATTATGAATTTCTGCATTTTAATTGGTTACTGCTTTCATTTAGTTTGTTTTTCAGGTAATTGCTTTAATTTTGAACCTCATGAAAAGTAAATTTGATCTTTTACTGCATTAATTTTGCTTATTAAAGAATCTATTTTATAATTGTAATTTTGGAAGACTAATCATTATCACTCTGAGACCAATCAGACTTTGACAATATAAAAGACCAGGACAAGAACTTCCATTAGGTAAAGTAGATGCTTGACAACAAAATAACAAATTCTTTTCCATTAGGTGAAGTAGATTCTTGATAAGTTACCCTAAGACTTTATGCCACTGTTTGCTTTCAACACATACGCATGGTTAGGCGCACGCTAGAATATTTATATTTGTAGAACAAAATCAGCAAAATAATATGAACCACTTAACAGTACATTAGGTAGCGATCTGGGATGTCTAAGCCATGGAAAAGAAACCGAGGACATGCTGCATTTGACTGTACATTCTCAAAAAAGCTGGAATTTTCATAGCATTTAATAGTTATGGAACTCAGGTCAAACCATGCAGCATTAAATATTAACTAACAACCTTACCTTATACATGAAATACTGCATTATGCTTCTAGGAATCTGCATTAACATAATATAAGTGGGAAATAGCAATTCATGACTACTTTTGTTATAAGGAGATGAACATTTATCTTGTCATTCATTCAGCACTGATAGCCGAGTATGTTTATATCCTTATCCATATGCCTAATTGTGGAAGTACGGTAGAGTATCAACTTGTGACAACTGTATTATGTGTTACCCAGGGTCTCATCACAAAGCTTTATTACCTCAGATGAAATATTATAGACTTGATTTTATGTAAATTGAGGATAATATCTTGTATGCCTATTATGTACAGAAATACAAATACAGAAAATGTAATAACAGGTTAGATATCCATTTTCCTTTCAAAATTATTTTAAAATTAGAGTAGCTGTTTTTACATTCTTTTAAATTATCTACAGTGGTTTTTGATCGGGTTTAGTGTATCTGTTTCTATTATGTAGATCACTCAGCTCTAGGACAACTCATAAAAGGAATAAATAAATAAAATGAATAGAAATCAGAATACCTTCAAATGCTTGTTAAAAGGAGTTTAAAAGAAGTTGCATATTTTTGTAACTGCAGTAGCACAAGTTACTGCTAGTGCCACTGCTTCTGAAACAAGACGTACAATCGTTCATCAGGTTAATTAAGCTTAGACAACAGCACTTAGCATTTCTAGACTGCAGAGAGACTTTGGGGAAAAAAACGTGCAAGTATCGTTAACATACTTTGTTAAATTCTTACCTTCAGGACTCAGGCAAGGAGATAGCTCAGGCACACCATTCACGTTGGAAGATGAACCACAGTGTGGTGGAATCTATGAGAAGACACAACAGTTAATTCTACAGAACATAGTCTTGGGCAATCACACTGTGAAACAAACAAAATGGATTTAACAGCCTTCTGTACTTTAAGGCAGATTAATATTTTACACAACCATCTGCCAAAAGCCAAACATGATTTTCCTTAGTTAATACATGTGCAAGCTACATACATTTATACTCTCTCTAATTATCTGCTAATACATGTAGATAGCTTTAAAGCCCAATATATTCACCATCCTATCCTGATCAACATATATGAGAGAGATCAGGATATGTAAGCTGCACTTCCTTTTCCTAGACAACACCAACAGTATTTTCCTTGTTCTAGTTGTGTAACTTGATATGCTTTTCTTTCAAAGCATCTGAAGAGTAATTTATTCCATCTCACTTTTGATTTTTACATAGTTACTTTTTATGAGAAGGTAGGGCTTACATAGCAATGAAAGGTAAGCATTGTTCCAGAAGTAAATGAATCCAAATACCTCCTATGCATATTAGAGGTAATGAACAAATATAAACTTGCTTTAGTTTGATTGTCACATCTAAAGAAAATTTTATTTATTTAATTTGTATCCTACTTTCTATCAAGAAAAATGGCACTCAAGGCAGTAAGACCAATTATCTAATTTTATCTCTCAGTATTTTACTAATTATCCATCATTCCTATTTATTGTTATTGTTTATAGACTGTTTTGATTGTTATTTGATTTTAATGTTGTAAGTCGTCCTAAGACGTTGTCATAAAGGACAGCATATAAATGTTTTAAATAAATAAATAAAATGGTTTTTTTTCTATCTTTGAAATCATCTGGTTATGTAGCGAAGTATTTCATCAGTAATAACAGAATTATTAAATTGCAAATGAGGTTTTCTTAAGGTATCCCTGGACTAACATGTACCAAAATCATTTAACAGCAACCATATAATAATAAAGACAGCAAAATGCAACTATAACTAGGTTGCCTGCCAGTTAAGCATAAGCAAGTACAAAAATAAAATAATAACACTGCCTGCCAGACAAATATGAAAAAATGGCTGCAAAAACAACTGTATATTTGTGACACTGATGCTGATTGCTCTTTTACCAAAATAATACAGCAGTTTTTAGATGGTATTTTTGAATCAGACCCAGAAATATGGCAGCTGAGATAGGATTTGATTATATTGGCTATTGCAATTATTAAACAATCTTCCATTCAGCTCTATTTATTTAAAAAGCCCAAAACAAGTCTCCTGGAAATGAACTTCATGGTTAGGAAGATTTTTTAAAGAAATGGATATAGGTTTACAGACAAAAGCAAATAAAACTAAATATCTGCTACAGGTTCAGATAAGCCATAAAGAAGAATTATGTACAAATCCAAAATTTTAGAATCTAAAACAAATGTATATAGTTTTATCTAACTGTGTCAGAATGGACTAGCATTGCTCCCTGGAGCTGGGCTGGTTGAAGCCTCCCATGACCACCGCCAGTGTGAAAATTTGCTTCAGCCAAGCAAGCTGCATCTAATTAAATCCAACTCAACATTTTTACCTAGGTAAGAGCATAAAATACAACTTTCAGATGCTCATTAATTCTATATAGTTACTATTTAACAGGGGTGCTGAACCTCTTCCACTCTGATAGACAAATTCCGTTCTGGGTACTGAATTCCAGTGTGGAAGACAAAAGGGGCAGGAGCAAGAGTTAAAGCTCTTACTGCCAGTAAGGACTTCATGTTTAGATGGAGAAAAGTCCTAGAATTCTTAGTATATTCCACACAACACAGTTGGCTGAGGCAGGCTGGGAATTTCAGGACTTTTTTCCATATAACCATGCACAGGATTGGGCCCTATCTAAGCCTTAGGAAAGGCTTGCTTCCCCCTTTCTCAATGGGTAAAAACTGAAGAAAATCACCAAATGATCAGTGGTCAGAAGAAAGGGATGCGGCCACCTAAAAACCTTGGAGGCACCACCTGAGGACTGGCATTGACTCCCAGACCCAAGATCCTGTCTTCAGCTATAGAACTTAAATCTAATGTCTTTTTGGGCATGAAATGGAATAGTACAGGATAAAATGAATCACATATTCAGCTATCTCCTGGCTACATATATAAAGATGATCAGGATTTGGCATGTTCACCATCAACACCCATGGTGTGGCATATGGGCATTTTTCCATTATCATCCCATACTGCCAACTAAGGTCAGGAAAAGCAAACTCCTTAACTTTCTGGCAGATAGATAGGTGGTCCACCCACTACAGCTTCAGACTCCACTATATTTTCAACAAATTTAGAGACAAATCAACAAATCATAATCTTCAAGCAAGGCCTCACACCGCTTAAGCAACCCATTAATAGATGACTGTTCTCATATACATTTTCTTAGGAAGTCAACTTTTAGCCAATATTTAGAGCTTCAACCAATACATAAACTGTGATTTATGTAACTTTAGCTTTAATACAGGTGACCCAGACATCTGCTTATAACATAAGGCAAAAGAATAGTTTTTAAAGAGCAAACTTTTGTTTTCTACTAGTGCATTTAAATCATCCAATTACACAATTAGTCTTTACATGTTAATTAGGTGATGATTTCCGCTAGAAGAAAATGTAATTGCTGAATATACAAAATTACTACCCATTCCATAACTGTTCAAAACTTGATATGGATAAGTCAGAATCCTTTCCAAACAAACTAGAGTTTCTAATTGCCTGCCTTCTGTTTTCAGAGTAGTCAAAGGAACAATGTCCAATATTGTTGCGGATTTAATTATTTTGGCTTGACTGCCAAGTTTCTGAATGAATCAGCAATTCAGCTTTTGTGCTGAATAGCAAAAATGAAGCCCCACAAACTATTGCCAGTTATCCCCTTGTCTTTCTCAGTAGGCTTCCCAGTGCAGTGTGCATTGAGGGTTGAGAGGATACAGTGTGGAAATGCGGCATTTTCCTGGTGAACAATAGTAACCTGAAATACTACATCATGGTATACATCTCATTTGTGTACAAGCCAATCCTTTAAAACAGTATCATATTAGGATCTTCTGGCAATCATCATCAGCATGGTTTAGAAAACAAAATCATGCAGATTTATTGAGGTGCTGGTCATGCTGTGGCATTTACCTTGATTATACCTACCTCATCTGACATACTGGGGAGCTGCAGGCAATGAAACTGGAATATGACTGAGCACAGCCTAATGCATGGCAATGCAGATGGCTTATTTGCAGCAGCATCTACCCAGTGAAACTCTTTTGGGTGGTTTTGGGCTTAATAGTCTCTTCGATAAGTGAATCCTTGGATCTCTCAAAGATACACTATTACATTTTTGCATTTGCTCTGAAGATAAAATTGCTTGTCTTTGAGTCAAACTTTATAATGTGTTGATGTAGCTTCAGCTGGGTGTTTTGGCAACATCACCTATCTGATTTTCTAGATGAATTTCAGTTTCTGCAGCCAAATTTTATGGATAAGGTATTTGTAACAATGCAACCAATGATGGTTGCCTTTGTTGCCTCTTGACCTTTGCTCTTCCTGACTAGTAACAACTATCTGGGGGTAAGAGAATAACTTGTGGGGTGTAGAGAGTCGTAAATGCATCTTATGTGAAGGGGTGATCCTTGCTGCCCTTAAGAAGGCTGCAGTGCAACCACTCCAGCAGATACACCAGTTATGACTTCTCCTGGGAGGAATAGCCTGGCCATATGGTATGGCATTAGCAAAGGCAGGCTTCTTATCTGTATCAGTCATTTTTTGAGTGGTCATCTGTGCATTCACGGATACGGGCAGTGTGCTGCAACTCCACCACATGGTCTCTCGCCAAGCATCCGATGACCCCACACTTGGGATGCAACCAGGGCTCCAGGGACACTGGGAGTGGCAAGATGTCGATGGGCACAGGCCAGGTTCTTGGGTGGCTGGGTGAGGGCAGCTTTGAAAGTGGTGGCAGTCAACATCAGGGTCACAATGTTGAGAATCATGGTACCAGCGGTCGGAATTGACACTGGGCCAGCAGCAGCAGTTGGTGGTGGCATGGCTGCCACAGTGATCAGGGGTACCATCATCAAAATCAAGGTGGCCCAACACTGGGCTGGTGATTGATATCAGCAGTGGTGGCTCAACGTTGGAGAAGCTCAGCATCAGTACTGGGTTCTGCTCAGCAGTGGCAGGTTGACATCAAGGGGTCTGCTTTGTGTGGGTCTGCCTTGGTCCAGGAATTGCAGCTAGTGCAGAATGCAGTAACTCAGCTGTTGCCAGAAGCTCCCCCTTTTCTGAGGGATTTCATTTCATTTACATTTGTATGCTGCCCCATAGCCCATACGGCTCTCTGGGAGGCTTACAATAGTACAAAACAATACGTACACCATAAAAATACAGTAATATATTAGAACAATACAATCAGGCGATACAATATGTATCTGTAAGTGATACAAAATCAAAACAAACCTTAATAATACAATACCTAATGGACAATACATAATGCAATATAATACATCATACAATGAATAATATCAATAAGAATAAGATACAGTTACAATTCCCAAGACAAGGCCCAGTTAACCATCCATACAGTTAAAGAAGCAAAGCCACACAATCTCGTGTGGGTTGTGCCTACATACAACAGGGTAGCCCAAATGGTTCGCAAACGGGCCCAGCCTCCAAGGCACCACTGAGAAGAGCAGCCGGTGCAGTGCGGCTCCCTGCCCCTAGCCAGCTCCTCTTGAAGGGATGTTCACTATCCCTCTGCTACTGGGCCAGCTCTACGTTTCAGGGCATGCGAGAGAACACCTTCTCTCTACCAGCCTGCCTAGTTACGAAGGTTATCAGAGGAAGAGCTCCTGGTGGTTCCCCATGGGCCTGCAGTCCATTTGGCATCCACTCAGCACACAGTCTTCCAAGTTCTGGTGGTTCTCTTCCTGCAGAACTCCCTGCCTGTGGATGCCAGGTAGGAACCAGCATTACTTTCTTTGTAGTGCATGCTGCAGACATTTTTATTTAAACCAGTGTCTGGCCAGCACTAGTTTTATTGCTATAATCTGATTTGAAATATTCTGCACCTTAAGTCTGATTACTTCTTTTATTATTAACCACTTAGAGCCCATGCTGAATATAGAATAAATAAAAGCTAGCACTCCTAAACAAATGATTCTGTGGGACTCTTCCGCAAGGACAGAGGGAAAAAGCCAAAGAAGATACAGAGGACCATTCTGCTTTTTCTAAACAAATCAACACAAGCACAACGACATTCTAGCCTCTACAAAGTATCTGGCAGTTCAGTGTATGTATGCCAGAAGAGCTGTGTTTGGGAGGTTAATTTCTGAACTGCATGAACTCCTTCTAGAGAACTTTCTATGTGGGTTGTGAATACAGATACAAGTATGACCATAAGTTGTGCTCTAATTCAGGTGTATCAGTTCAGATTGCTCGGATCCCAACTGGAGGAAGCACAGCTGGCATTTACACACAAACAGCTGCAGACCACAACAATAAAATAAAGGATTTTTTAATCATCTTGACACATTTCAAGTTTTGACTATTTTTTCCTTAATGGATTGCTTTTAAGACATGCAGTAAACGTGAGCATTCAAATATTATTTGTAAAATTATATATATAATTCTAGTCAGGATGCTAAAGCTTCTGCTTTCACCACTTCAGTTTTGTTATCTGCTGGATTTATTAGATTATAAATGTTTTGTATGCTTTTGTTTTTACAAGCTGTAAGCTGCTAAGTGTACATTTGCACTGAAAGGTAAGAAATAGTCACTTCACAGAATGTATAACTAATCATAACAAAAAACAATGATAGTGTTTATTGAATGGATTAGCAACATTTCTCTAATTACTAAAATAAATACCAGCTTATCTTATCCATTGCAATATGGGTAACAACTTAAAAACATTTAAGCCACCTATAATAATGTTAATGCACTGTACTTTGCAATGAACTTTTAAAACATCAGTGATGTTTTAAAGCAGGTTTTGTAGGGTCTAAAATAGGCCAAATCTACCTAAAACATACCTTGAGTCCTCGAAAGCTTCCTGGGCTTGTTGGTGAGGAGCTAGAAGATTTTGCTGATTTAGGTGTAGAAAGCTGGCTGCTTGAGGCTCCATTGACTAATGGAAATATTCAAGCAAAAGAAAAGAAATTGTATTTGTATTATTGCAGATAAAACAAAAGTTTTAATTCCCGTTAAAATGTGATAGAATCCTTTCATTTAAAACTCCACTCTTCTATATAGCATAACCTCTCATGACACATAATAATAATTATAGACAAGAAGACTGACAAAGTATTCTGGCCCAAGGCTTATCAAAACCCACCCCCCCTGCCCCCCCCCCCCCCCCATATTCCTCTGGACATTTCTCCCAGCCCTCTTTTAAGAAGCAGCTTGATTTCAATGGTAGTCTGAGAGCTTCTCTTTCATAGAAGCAAACTTATTTTATTGCTTCATCCCAAGTAGTTCTGCCTGTAGGAGCCAAACAGCTCTGACAATTCCAGTTAGAAAGTCTTCTTCCTGGAGCCCTGCATCTTGACCTTTTCTGTCACTTTTGGATTTTTAAGTGCCTCTCTGACAGGGACCCTATGATTTGTGAGTAGCATGCAGGAAGGTCACCAGATATAGATTTTGCCATTGTAATGCTGTGACAAAGAAGCTACACCATGTCGATTTTCCCATGTGGACCTGGCAGCCCTACCTTGAGTCCAAAACTCTCAGTGCTCCAGCTTCTAAAGTGTCCTCTTTTTTTCTCTGTTTTATTTTGGCTTCTCCTTTTCTGATAAAAGCTCACCATCTGCTGCTAAAGAATTGACAGGAATCCAAATGCATTTTATTGGCTCTTGGCCCTGATTGAATCCTAGCATTGCTCAACCTGGTAGAGTTCTATACAATTTTCAAATGTAAGAGTATGGCTAGCCTCTGCCTTCCTGGTATTTTAATCCTTAACTTTAAAGCTCTCTTGACTGCCTACTACTCTACTGCTAACATCTTATACCCTCTCCTGACCCTGGCCTTATGTTAACATTCTCCTTGTCCCTTCTTTCTTTAAAACATGATAGTACTGCAAACCTATATTTCCTCAGGCTCCTATTTATGAGTAGAGATAGAAAAGAATTTTGGAAATGATGAATTCAGAAATGAACTCCTGCAGCTTGAAAATCTCCATGCTATCATTCATTATAATCATTGTAAGTGCAGCCTGAACCTTCTCAGTTTGTTATGATTCAGCAACAGCCTTCTCAACTGCAGTTTTCCTTAACAAGTGGGGCTATGAGCAGGAGAGAAAACAGCAGCTGAAGCTAATGCCACCAGTTGTAAGTTGCTCCTGCACTGCTGCCATGAACTCTGGAAAGAGCCGATATTTCATCTCTCCAGATTCATTTACTGTGAATTTTTTATTTAAATAGCACTATACTTTCCAGACTGTTTGTCTGCAATGAAGTCTCCAGACATACGCAGAAGCTTTTACTGAAGAGACTTGCAGAGGGAAAGTAGCCAGAACTTGCAGCTGCTTTTTCTTCTCCTCCTTCTCTATTCCCACCAACTACAGCTGGATAAGGAGGGTAAGGGGAGATGGTAAACTGGCAGAGGAGGGGGTTGATGTTGGTGAAGGAACCCTCCTAGATTCAAGCCTTCTTTTTGAAATATTTTTTGGGAAAAACCAGAGCATTCCCTTCAGGATTGTATCGAAAAGCCTTGCAAGGACCCTATTCTTAATCAAATGGGTGAATCTAACTCATAGTTGCCTACTCCTGCTCTATGCACAGCCTCATTTTTTTAATCAGTCCCCCATTTGGCCTTTCCATTTTGCACCTCTGTTTTTTACTTTTTGCCTGCCAAACAGGATCTTGTTCTTAGATTCTAAGATTTTTCTCTGTAGCTTTCATTAACTCTTCAGTTCACTAATCCATACACCACTCTTAGCATGAGGACCCAAGTTCAGCATAGGTCTACTCTCCTTCTTTTAGGCAGAAACACATTTCTACCTCATCAAATCTCTTCCAACAAAGTTGTTTAAAACTTTAATCTCTCTCTTGCCCACATAGCATGTTCTGTTCCTATACCAGTTCTAACACAACTCAGAAGTTAAAATGTTAATGAACATTACAAGATACCAAGTCAATGGGTGCCCGAAAGTTCATAACTGCCCTAAAATAGCATATTAAATGGTGTAAATTAAAACTTCCAAGCACAAAGCTTGACTCTTTTTCATGAATAAATGAAAATAGTCCTGTACAGTCCATCTCTTATGATTATTTCTCTACTAGTAAAAAACAAATGCTTTAAAATGCTTCTCTGTAATTCTTCTGTGTTAAAGGCTTTGACAAGAATCAGCTAGCTATTTAAAATATGAATAGTTGTGACATTTGCATTTTGAAGGGCTACTTCACATATGAAAACAGTAAAATTTTCCCCCAGCTCTGTTGAATCTGAATAGAGCTCTACAAGACTAATACATGCCATCTACCAGCCTATCTGAACATATTTTCCTAATTCTAGTTCCATGTTTGTCCAGGAAGAAAAAGGATGTGTTTCAAAGAGTAAGATTGTTTTTAGCCCCAGTTCAGTTAAGTGTGGTTCCTTTAAGAAAAAAAAAATGAGTCTGCTAGCTAGACATTGGGTTTCCATGGAAACATTAGTTACCACCTCCACTTTTTCAGCTGTGTAAAGAATATCTATAACGGGTAACAGAACATTCATTTAACAAGTGCCATTGTTTTGCTGTGTGAATGCCTGCAGTGATGAACCTGTCTGGAAACCAAGTATTCCCAACTTAGGCCTTGAAGAAAAAGAGAATTCTACTTATCATTCCTCATCATTTAGGAACCCAATTGCTAATATGACTGCAGAGATGCACGTATCTTTCTCCAAAGCTTTAAGCATCAGGTTTTAAAATGTTCTAAAGAGAATTAGTATTCCTTTTTTCAATAAATGCTAAGCGCCAAAAGAGACATTTCTCTACATTCCTATTAGCTGTATTTTGCCCATTTTTAAATTCTGAGTGAAGCAGGGGTGGGATTGAGGACCTGGCATGAGAGGTGGTGGTGGTGGTGAGTTGAGCTTTAGGTTGAGCCTCCAGTGCTTACGTTAGAATAAATATAAAAGGACAGAGCCTCTGAATATGAATTTAAAATAAACTAATGCTTTGGCTTCTAAGTATCAAACTATATATTATTTGATCACATAGCATGTAAATAAGTTCCTTTCACTTTCTTACTCAAGATTTAGTGTGAGAGCCTCCAATTCCCATCAGGATCAGAGTGCATGAGGAAGAGGGGATTAAAGCTTACAACCCTCTTCAGCATCTGCCTCCTGCAATTCCTTCTCCACCTTATGAGTCTATATAGATATAGATATATGGGCTTAATTAGAGGGATTTTCTTCTTTTAATCCCCATAGAGAAGAGTGGGGAGAGATTTCAGGAATAAAGTAGCTGAGGGGAATGTTTAATTCTTCCCACCCAGTGAGAACTGGCCTTGATCTGAATTAGGACAGTAGATGGTTACTTTTAAGTAAGCTATTGAGAGGGGGACATAACTACATACTACATACCCCAGAGAGGTCCGCCTGGCGCCGTCGTTATTTGTTTTTCGGCGCCAGGCGAAGACCTTTTTATTTATGCAGCATTTTAAATGTTAATATTATTGAATTTTATTCGGCCAGGGCAGCTCATTTTATTTTACTGTATATATTTTAATTGTCATTGTTTTAATGTATTTTGTATTCGATGTTGTAAGCCGCCCCGAGGCCTTGGCAAGGGGCGGCGTAGAAATGTTTTAATAAATAATAAATAAATAAATACATGTAATTAATGTAGTTTGCAGTTTCACCTCAACTTTATTGTTGTTTTCATATCATTCCTGGAACCATGTGCAACCTCCAATTATGGCCATAGAGCTTTTTAGTTAGGGCAAGATCCAATCAGTCATGCACCGTAACTCCACAAAACAGAAAGGACAGCATTTGTAAACTTAAGCTTGACACAAGGGAAAATCTGGATAAACTCCAAGTAGCCGAATTCAAGCATGAATTCATGGTGACCTTGAAAAATGTACAAGCCATCTTCTAAATAAACTTATGGGAAAGAGTAAGCAAGCCATCACCAAACAGAAGAAGATACAGAAGAGAGTGATTTACATGATGTACACTCCTTCTTATGGTATAAATAAGAAGTCATGGTATGATTCTGCAATTTACTTATCTGTTTAAAAAAAGAGTACAATTCAACTGCAACAATTGCACAAAACTAACTGCCAACAGTGTCCTCCTTTTTGAGTGCCTGCTCCAAGTAAAGAAGGCCATGCAGGCTCATTCCTAAATTTAAAGTAAGTAAATTTGTATTTAGTTGTGGTATTCAGCTGACTTAGGTTATTGCACAGATATATAAACATTCTCCTAATGCTGCTTGTCTACCAGACAAATTATGGCTTAATAATTTTAACTTTACTGTACTATCAACAGATGTCTGTTTAATTATAATAATTCCTTAAAATCTCATTTTCCAAGGTCTAATACAGAAGCAGGATAAACTCATCAAGTCTTAATTTTGCAAAGCATAAGAATGTACAGTGCAAAGTAATGCAGACACAGAAATAGATGGAAGGGATAAAAAAAAATGCAGAAGACGAGGCGGTGGTACAAAGCCATAATAGCAATGGCTCACCTGGGGATTTTGCTGAAGAGTAAACACTGGAGTAGTGGCCACTCCTCTTTACTGTGTTCATTCAAATGACACAAAGGAAGAAGACAGGAGAGAAGTTATTCATAGACATGAATGAAAGAAAAGTAACATAAAAAAAGAAGAAAAATCCAATTTGATCCCAGCACAGTTTGTAGTAGACCTATGCTTATTTCTATGCATAATCTTCTTTCAGGCAATTCAAATGCAGATTGAGGTAAATGGAAATGACAATTGGTGGGAAAGATAAAGATGGCATACTGAAGTTGGGATGACACTAGGACCACAGAAAAGCCACTGATTATCCTACACATAATTTCTTCACAGCGAATTTGTCTGGAATCAGTGAAAGTCCACACTGCCAAGAATGCTGAATGGTCACCCCCCCCCCCCATGTGTGTCTATATTGGAACTTGTGAATGAAGACCTTACTCTTAGTCAACCTACTAATTTCAACTTGTATAATATGACTCCCATTTCCAATTTGTTTCTCTTGTATGTTCAAAAGCACCATATGCTTCTGAATCACTTCATCACACAAGTGAAAGATGCCATCAAAAGCACAGAGATAGAGAATGCATGTGATGTGCTGTAAGTAAGGATCCTGTAACCTTTCATCTGGAAGGCAATTTCACAGCACTCTGAATTAAGAAAACCAATAAATATATCTAAGGTACAGATCCTTGGTAACAGCTGCAGCCAGTTAATCAAGAGAGTCATTTTGCCTTCTCCCTCATCATCATTAAAAAAAAAAATCTGTTAACCAAGAGTGCAGACCCATGCTGCCGAATTAAAATGCTACCCAGCTATTGAGAGACTACAGTTTTGCCTGTCATTTCTGCATCTGTGAGGGCACCTCTTTCACTAAACATCAGCACTTCAAAATACAGATTCTGGAAGAATTAAAAAAAACCCATCTAATGTAAAGCATAATTGAAAGAACGTTAATATGAACTCCAGTGAACAAGAACTTGAGCCAAACAAGGATCTAGGAAAGCAAGCATAGGAAAAAGGGGGCGGGGGAGGAAAAGGAGCTTTGTGCTAAGCAAATGAGCCAATGGAAGAGATTAGTTAGGAAGTAGTGGATCCCAGGCTTAAATGGGAAATAAAGGAAGTGGCTACGTTTAAGTGCAATTGAATTATTCAGTCATCCTTCATCATCCTTGTTCCCCAGCCTCTCATTATTTCTAATGCCAACCTTACTGTCTATTTTAGATTTAAGCTCCCTGGAGAAAGATCTCTTTCTTTCCTACTGTTTCCTTCCCATGATATGCTGTATGGCACAATTTGCAATGATGGTGATAGATAAACATGAAGTTGGGATCAGAAGCAAAGCCAGCAGGAGTAGGGAAGAGAATATGGGGCAGCTGCAGTACAGGTTGATAATAATATGAATTATAAAACTTCATGTTAATGAAAAACCACCACCTTTACATGTATATTCTGACATTTGCTAAAAGACCATCGAGGCACTGCAAAGTAATTTAAGAGAATAAAACCTTAAAAATAAAAATAAGAACATTAAAAACCATAACATGGAACATTAAAGCCATTATGTAATTTAAAAGACAAAATTAAAAAGGTATGTTCTCACACCTTTTTCTAAAAGCCAAGAGGAAGACAAATAATCGTAGTTCTGATTGACAACATCCCATAGTTTGTGAGAAAGACTGGAGAAAGCATCCCCAACAAATAGGCCTCTGGTGGTACTGTTGGTCTTGGAAGGACCTCTCTTGCTGTTCTTAATGCGCTTAGAGCTTTAAAGGTTAAAACCAAAACCCTGAGTTAAACCTGGAAAGCAGCTGGTCCCGGACTGTTAGCTGCTAGTTGCCACTTTGCACCATTTGTAGCTTCTAGGTTTTCCTCAAGGGTAATCCCACATACAGTGCATTACTATGATAGCTTACATACAGTATAACCATGGATAACTGTTGCCCAGTCAGACAAACCTAACAAGGGTCAGAACTGGCATGTAAATGTTCAAATGCTCTCCTTGCTCCTTCTGCCATCTGAAGATCCAGGGACAGCACAAGTTCATAGAGCAATCCTATTTATATTTATAGAGAGAATATATATAATATTCAAGGAATTTGATTCCTTCTTAACACATATTCATTGTTAGGCAACAACAAACTATAGAACTCATTGCTATCATTAGCATATGGTGCTTTACACTGCATTTCAGTATTCCCCAACTTGATGCCCTTCAGACAGGCTACACCACCCACCAGGCTGGGAGAAGGCTGACATATCCTCACCAGTCTTAATATAACTGTACTAGCTACTTTTCTATTTCTGAACACAATTCAAAGCACTGGATTAAAGCCCTTACTAGCTTAGGGCTATTGTTCCTCAAGGATTACTAGCTTCCATATGAAGATACCCTGATTCTGATATTTTCCTCAGGGATCTTTTAAATTTACTTGACTTTGGTTTCTATGTGACTTTAGTAGTTATTGGATTCACAAACTAATTCTATTTATCTCCATTGTCTGTATTTGAAAACTGGTCTGGGAACTATTCAGGGCTGAAATATGGAATAAAAATGTATGAAACAAAAGAAATTTCCAGATGAAATTCCTTCTCCTTCAAATGGTTGTACCTGATGCAGGAGATTTGCTTCGACGTGAAGGTCCAGGACTTTTAGATCCAGAATACCTTGGTGTCCCGGAAGAACGAGAATAAGATGATTTCATAACACGACATTCTGTAAATAGATGGGTAACATATTACATTTTTTCAGTGTAAAGGCACTTCCAGACAAAACCACCTACAGCAGTAGATGTAGATTCTCTAAATAGTTTTGTTCAAATACACCAACACCAGTTCAAAATTCACAAACTCAGACTTACGTTAGAATCTGACCAAATATTAAAAGGGGGGAGAGAGTTCAAGTAGTTTATAACTAGATTTTAATCTTTATCCTGCAAAATGTAAGATTAAAGTGAAGATCTCTGTCAGAAAAGTACGTTCTTATTTTACATATGGTAAAGAATTCTGTCATACTGCAGTCTGTGTGAGCCTGAATGGATACACCTGTTCACACCAGTCTATTTCTGATCTAACTGTAATTTTAATTATTCTACCCAGCAGAGTATGCAATCTGTTTTTTGTTCTATACCAGAAATGAGCAGAAGATATTGCAAATCTACAGTAGACTTGGGTTGATTTTCAATTGGCCGGAAAGAGTCTAACTCCCTAACAGTGCCAACAACAAAAGGTCCCTCACCCCCCACATTAGGCTGCTGACTTGAAGAAAGCTCAATCCTGCTACTTAAAGCATGTACTCAGGGCACTGTGTTCCTTAATTCTAACTGCACATCCTTTGCTCCCCGACACCAAGTCACTGGTAGTCAACCTCATACCACCTCCCCATTAAATCCAGTAGATCCAGCAAATCTGAAACCACCCACTTTGTATGAGGATATAAATCTACCCTTTAACCCTACAGAGCAAAAGGCTGAAGGGATCTTTGACTACTGCAAAGAATGGATTTGTAGGGTTCAAACAAAAACTTCTCCAAGAAAACAAAAATGCCAATAATGTCTGGGGATGAATCTCTGGGGGTGGGAAGAGAACTGAAGGCGTCCCTGATTCAGGGCCAAGGAGGAAGATATGGGAAGGAAGGAAGGGAGAGCTGAGAGTGCACTTAAGTTAATAGCTATGCCCCTTCACAGAATATCCATGCATCCATCATATTCACTAGCTAATTTTATATATTTATGTACTTAATATATATCCCACCTTTCTGTATATAATAACACTCCAATAACTACAGAATCTGCATGATTCATGTAATTGTCCTTTGCCATTATTGTCAATGCAACAGGGATAAAAGCTCATTTTTAATAGCAGTTTCCATTTCACTAGAGACATACAAAGTCCTATAAATTTAAGATGTACATGCTTACCACTCTGATCCAGTACAAAATCATCTTGAGCATAACGGTATTTCTCTGGTCCACAGGCAATGAAAACATCATCATCACCAAAAAAGTCTTGCAAGCAAGTAACCTAAAAAGAGGAAAAAAGATAAAACAAAGCAGAACTTTGCTCATGGGACTGGCTAGAGGAAGAACAGGACTTTAAGTTTGGTGCTAACTTCTCTGCATCTCCACTAATTCACAGTTAACAAAAATTAGTGCTACATGCAAACCAAGCCAGTATTGGTCCGCAGGATCCAGTATTGATTCACAAACACAGGATGTAAACAATGGGCCACCCCAAAGATTTGGATTGGAACCAGTGCTTTCTAACTTGTTCATAAATGGTCTAGAATTAGCTGTGAGTCAACTTTTCTGATGACACCAAATTATTTAGGGTAGTTAAATGCAAAAGACTTCAAAAAAGCTCTAAAAGAGTATTTCCAAAGCTGCAGAAATGGGCATTAAAATGGCAAGTGCAGTTCTATATAAGCAAATGAATCTCAACAAGGAATTTGCCTTTTTTTACAGCAGCTGTGCACAGACTCAACATTTTCATCGAGCTATGTACCAAAACCCCCAAATCTTTTTCTTGGCGAGCAACTGCCAGCTCAGGTGCCATTGTATATACATGAAGTTTGATATCCCCCCCCCCCGCCCTCCCCCCATGAACATCAGTTTACCTTAAAATGTTTTTTTTAATTTGAAGCATACAGCGTGCTTTATTTTTGTCCAGAATGAAAAGCCATGTAACTTTTGCTACAGGAGGAGGAAAAAGTACCAAAAAAATGGGGGCAGAGAACAAAGAATCTACACTTGGCAACTATGTGTATTTACAGTAGGGAGAGAGGGAGGGAAGTGGGGAGAGAGAAATGGTATGAAGACTTACAGTGCAATACTGTGCGTGTTTAATCTTTAAAAAGTCCCACTTTGTTTAATGCGGTTATTCCCTAGTAATTGTTTTTAATTTCTTACCAAAACTATAGTACTAGTTTTCCCTTTTGTTAAAGTTGACTAACAGTAACATTTTCATTTATTACCCTCCATGGTAGAGTAAATATTGGATGGAGTACAGAGAAGGCTTGTTGCTGCTGTCTGTAGTAGAAAACCACTCAGAATATCAATGACTTTCAGCTCTCTCAAAGATCATTCCTACAAGGCATTTGAAAGCAGTGCAGTTGTCATGGCAGCTAAACCAGAGATAAAAGCAGGCTGAATGTACAGTAAGACCATCTGCAGGCTGGAAATGTAGCATTGAGCATTTGTTTGATTCTATTATCAAGCTCAATGACACAACATTCTCTCCACCCAACATCCAGTTAGCTGTAGTGTAACCTCATGATAAAGGATAAATGTCTACATAGTCTGCTTCTCTAGAGAAAAATTAATTCGCCTCAACTTAGCTAAGTAGTTTGACAAGGCAAGTTCTTAACTCTTTCCTAGCCTGCCTGATGAACAGGATAAGCTTCTTACTGTATAGGGAAAAAGCACTTGTATAAAGATGCCACATGTTGTGCCTAAATTTTCTCAATTTTTACAAAATTAAATGTAAATCTAAGAGAAGCTCCTGCCTTGACCTGCACAACATTTAAAGGAAACTGCTACACCCAAGGCTGTAGAGCACTGTTTTTCCACATTTTCAGCCACCTTTGACTACACATTCTATCATTTAACAAAGATTGAATGGCTCTTTGGGGATTTTTATTTATTTTACAATATTTTGATGTAAGGATAAATCTCTCTGAGGGCAATGTACAAAATTTAAAACATATACACTTATGAAAGAGGCAGTTAATAAACAATAGAATTAATTAAAATGCTATAAGAACAGAGTACACCAATAAAACCTGCCAGCCAAAGTTTATGACAACCAGTGACTCTGTACAGCTTTCCTGAAGAAGTAGTCTAACAAACCCTTGATGCAATCCAATTCCAGAGACTTGAAAATACCACTGATAAGGCCTTGGTACTCAGCAACCATTGCAAGAGTTTATTTAAGAGCAGCTCATATTATTGCAACAGGCAAGGGAAAAGCACCTCTTTAGGCAGGCTAATGCAGGAGAAGACAGTGTTTCAAAACTTATTTTTATGAATATGATTTTTTCAAAACTATGAATAAGGAAAAATAAGTATGCACCATCAAATATGTATGAATTGATATGTAAATATATTGGTGGTATAGTACATACAAGTATATGCTTTGAATTATACACTAATATTTGAAGTAAAATAATTTTTGAGGTAACAGGAATCTTCATCCATCCATCCCAAGTATACTATTTCCTGTTAATATTTGCAATATCCCATAATTGCCTTAGGTAATGCACTAACCGGCCTATCTCAATCATATTTTTTTAAAAAGCAGATTTTACTTTATAATTTTGAAGTTATTTATCCAGAGATTATTGTTTGGAATTCCTAAACTTCTACCATCCTCTTGTTTTCAGTTCTGACAACCACACTTAATGCTTCTGATATTCCTGAAACATAACACTGTTGCTTGCTACAGCAAATAGCCTGGTTATGTAACGTGAAGCTATGGTAAGTGATTTCTAATCTTACATGGCACATCTCTTTTCAATGCACACACAGGGTAAAGCTTCACTTCAGCCCATGTGTGCTAGTGCTCTTTGGAACAATTCAAAATACAAAGCAAACCCCCAGCTTTGCTGACTTTTAATTAACACCTCTGCTAGGTGCAGAATGAAGTTTCAAACAACATTGTTAAAAATGTATTTTTCATAGTCCTCTGTCTTCAGCATCCCACACACTTGGAAAACACAGATAATTCAAGAAGTACTGCTGCCTCTGATTACTTCCATATATTGCTTCTTACTGAAAATGGTGTACTAGGTTTTTTTCTATTCAATGTATTAATAGCATTTTATCATGTTTCCATCTTCATACATGTAAATATATTTTAAATATTTGCATATATATTTCCACTCATAAAATAGCTTTCCCACTAAGTGTTATATCCTCTGTGTTAGCATCCCATTAAGTAAGCTCTCTAAGTATTTTTCTCTATCTGTTCTGAGAGCCACACTACTGAAGCAAATTTTACTTTAAAAATAAAGCATTGCAACTTATTTCTTTTATAAACTAAATGCAAGTAACCTGGGCAGCTGTGCTATTCTTATAAATCTAAGTCTCTTAGATGAGTGGATGGACCTGTTCCAGGATAGTTACATTGCTTCCAAGATGTAGTCACAATGGACTCCTGAATCTGGCTCACACCCAAATAAATGAAAACAAGGTTGTACTGTTCAAAGACAAATACTAGATGACATACATTCTCTCACTGAAAGGGAAGAAAGCCTCAGTGAGAAAGGCCTCAGATGCAAGCTGTAGTAAAACATCAAGCATGGAGGACAGAAATTCTCTTTTGTACATGGTATAATGTCACCTATGGCCTTGGACAATATTAACATCAAGAAAACAGGATATGGTTTAATGTTTTGAAAGAGGAAATGCTCAGCTTAATAGACAAAGGAAAGGAAGCTTGGGAATAGAGCACACCCTATAATAATTGGAAGAGAGTGTGAGTGTGCATTTAGCTGAACAATAATGAATCAAATAGAAACACTGAGAATGAATCATTGTTCACTCCACTGTACAAATATAGCATTAATATCACATTGCATTACATTAAGATTTAGCAGAAACTCCTGTATGACATTATATACAAAAGGTGACAACAATACTTCTGGATAACTCTGCTCTGTTTTGAGCAGAATTCATTGCAAATCTTTTGCTACATGAATTGTTACCCTTTCCTTATTTATATTTATTTTAAAGACAATACAACTCAGTCTACTTAGACAGAAACACTGTATTTCTAATCACAAGCTGCCTGTTCTAATTTAAAGAATAACTTTCCACCCTCTCATCACAACACTAACATTACTCTTTAAGTTTATGTATTTTTCCGTGAAACTGCCTGTGGCTATTATGTTTATAGTTCAGCGCCTTAAAAGTGCAAAATGTTATTGCATAAACAGGTCAGCAATTCATTTCCCATTTCATATCTGCCACAAAGATGCACAGATCTAGACTTTTAAAAGTATCTCCACAGCCTCTAGCACAAAGCAGCAGGTGAAAAGGGCACTTCAGTCTGTCCCCATTATTCAGTACTGCTTGGCCAGAAAGACTACTGCTTTGTTTACTGTCAAAGCATCACATGAACTTTTATAAAAGGCTCTGCATGCAGCAATGGGAAGGGACAGGGATGGAAGCATTTTAATACTAGTTTTTAAACACCAAGCCTCTAGAGGCTGAAACTGAGCTATAAAATGTTTGCATAAAGCAATAATGAACCATGCTTAATAAATAGAATTTCAGAAATAGATTCTCCACTGCCAATCCTTTCTGCCCACAAGCAATCTATTCCGTTGTCAGATTGTAGAGACAGCAGGGTGTTAAACTGTTTTAAAATATTAATGATTGATAAATTAGGGGGTTTCACCAAAATGTTTTAAATGAAATAGACAGATCATCTTGAAAGTTATACATAAAACAAAATGGACCAATTGTCTCTGACTTCAGATGCTACGAATTAAAGAAAAAAACAAACATCACATTCTTTGAGCAATCTAACAATATGAGGTGCACTTGAATAAGCTCTTCCTTACAATTTAATCTCTCTCAGTGCAGTTTCTTCTAGTAGGGCAGGGCCCCAATATTCATACAGACTGGATCTGAGCCCCCTAGCCTGAAACTGCATATAACAGCAAACATAGGTCAGTGGTAGCGAATCTATGTCACGCAAGTCACAGCGGGCATGCAGACCCTCTCTGTTGGCACACGAGCCAAGTCACCCCAGCAGCTGAGCATCGGATAACAGCACACAGAGGGGCCATGCACATGCTCAGAAAGGAGTAGTGGTGCCTGGTGATGACATCACAAGCCACAGCTCATTAGCTGCAACTCATCCAAGCTTTTACATGGTCAGTCAGTGCGCTGCCAAGGAGATAGGTAGATATATATAGATATATAGATATAGATATAGATATAGATATAGATATAGATATTTGCTTGGACTGGCTGTGAGTTGTTTTTTCTAAACTAAACCTCAGTTTTCAGGTTGTATTG